AGTTATTTTATCATTATCACTATTAGAACTTGACCATTCAAAAGGTGTAGAAGTTATCATTGTATTAAATTGTTGAGTAATATTAATAAATTCTTGATCTTCGGTAATATTTAAAGAATTAGTTTGATTTTGTTCTAATGATATTGTCGTCATATTTTCGATAGTTTCTAAAGAAGGTAATATGGTTGTTGTAATATTTTCTATTGTAGATATCATCATAGAAGAAGTCATATTTGTTTCAAAATTTGTTTCATTATTATATATATTTGGTTCAGTTGTTTCAAATATTTGAGATGTTGTTTCTATGAAATCTTGTTTATACATATTAGTTGTTGATGCTTTACTAATTTTTGGAAAAATTTTTTCAAGTTGAATATCTTCAGCTCGTATAACATGTTCTCGTTCGGTTGTTTCACTTGGATAAGTTATTAAATTTGATTTAAGTATTGTTGATGATGTTGTATCGGATGATGATGCGCCATTTGTAGTTAATAAACTCACAAAATCTATATGATCATTATTAGAATTCATTGCTGATTTGCCATGAACTTTTACACGATATGCTTCTTGTAATATATCAAATAAAACTCGTGTATGTACAGGTATAAGAGCTACAAATAAGAATTTAAATGATTATCATATAATGAAAAGATATATATATATAAATATATACATTTACTTACATGACCATACAGAAGGATCATCTTTCGGTACATGTTCTTCACATAATGGACCCATATAATCAAAATAACATCGACATTCAAATGAAGTTAAACTTGTTTCAACACATAAACCTCGATTACCACAAGGACTTTCTTGACAAATACCTAATCAATACGAATAAAAACAAAACAACTAAAATTAATAAGTATTATTTTGAAAAATAGATTTTTATACCAAGTCGTTTTTCACATAAAGCTCCACTATAATTCATAGGACATACACAAAGATAAGTATATGCTGAGCCAAAACATGAGCCTCCATTCATGCATGGCATGGACCAACAAAGATTACCTTGAAAAATAAAATATTAAAATCTTTTCTTGAAAATAACTATTTTATTTTTTGTTACCTGTAAACCAATTAGCATCGACAAAATAGATAATTTTAGTGACTACAATAAGTAGCCACCGGAATAATGTCACGTTCATAGCGTCACTTTACAAACAATGAAACAATTCATCATTATTGTCATTCTTATTGAAGATAGGTGTATGTCACCATCATCAAATATTGTTCGACAATAAACACAAAAAAAAAATGTATACGTTTGGATCAAATAACACACACTTGTGTGAGGTCAACGGATGTTATACAGAATGGGTATTTGTATTTACGATGTGTGTGAACAATACATACATACATATAGTAGTTGAAGCAGAGGTGGAGCATGTACATGCGTGCAACAGCAAGCTTGGATTAGTTTATTTAGGGATCGTATAATGAGAGGAAAAAGCAACATATGATCCTTTCTTTTATCAGTCTACTTCAATAAAGAAAGAGAGAAACTGAATTCGGCTCAAACAAAAGACAAGAAATGTATAAGAACAAAGAAAAGTGTAGGAATCGATACAACAGAATTGTTCGTGATGATTATAAACAAAATCTCAGTTTACCTATCTTTGTTATTATTTACGTAATCAAAATCAGAACAATCACATTTTACTCCATCATTAATAATGATACAATACTTCAAAATTTCGATAAGCTTTCATTATTATGCGATGAAAAAGATTAACGTTAAGCCAACTATGATACCATAAAAATATGAGCGTTGGAGATTTGAATAAAAACAAAAAAGAAAAGAACAAGATGTCAAATCAATAAAAAAGAATAATTTCTTACTTGTATCAAGTTTCGAAATCTATGGTTTGTTTTTATCAACGAACAAAATCAGATATCCAATTTCTTAGATCAATTAGTGTTTTTCAACAAGTATATATGCCGTTAATGGGCAAAGATGATAAAAGATATCATACAAAAATTAAATACATCAACTCACAAAAAAAACTATACCACAGAATTGATGATTGACAGTCAAGGAGTCATTCATAAACGATTTTCAAGTGAAGGAGACAGAAGGGATCAAACATTTCTGGACATCCAGATATTTACCATGAATATTTTCCTTCTTTTCACATAACATTCCACGAAGTTTTGAAAGTTAATTTGGTTTGAAGAATATTTTTTTAATAGGAAATCAATTGAATGTGAATCAGTTGAAATAATTGAAGATTATGCTATATAAGCAGATAGTTATTCTCTCGATTAGTAACATGAATGCTGTTAGATTTTCGAGTCCTATTGATATTAAACTTCGTTTTCTTTTTTACTATTTTCTGCTCATTAAAAATAGATTGTATTTAAAAAACAAAAATTTTACAAAAGGATATCTTTTTGTTTGTTACTTATAAAAGGTGTGTTTTATCATTTTTATATTCGGTAATTTATTTAATGAAGTGCTATTTAATAAAACAAAGAACGGTATATTTGAATAAGCGGACTTTTTCTGAAAGTTTTTTTCTTTATACTGGACATCCAGTCCAGGAGAGAAGGTCAATGTAAGTGGACCAAGGGAACGGGTGAAAGATGCGATTTTCAACCGTATGTCCTTTATTGATGACCTTCATGCTGAATTGAATGACTCTTTAGTTTTGAAGATTTTTTTCAACATTTAACAAAGAATTATTCAAGGTTACTTCGACAATAGAACAGAGATCAGTGGAATATTGCGTTATATCATTGCTGGAGACCAACTAGAAGAACACCAAAGAAACGATTTCAAGTTTGTCGAGAAGAAGAAAAACGACAGAAGCATACGACGTGCGGTAGTAAAAAGCATCCTTGTAAATCACTACATAGCAACCGCCTTGATCTGCATGTTTATCTAATGCAAATAACATCAAATTATTGCAATCGAAGACTTTGATAAAATGCTAAGAACCGTTTGTATTTGTATTATGTAAGACAAAAAAAGCTTCATCATATGAAGAGTGTAAAAAAAAAGAAAAAGTTAGAATAAGAATGACCAAAGATACAAATACATGAGCAAGCAAGCTGTACATGAACGTGGAACAAGCAAAAAAAATAGGATTTACACCGTATCATGACTTTTTCTTTTTTAATATCTAAATATATATCTGACTAAATATAAGACAAAAAAAAAAAAGTTTGCTGTATATCAAATAGAACAGTTTGATGAATGAAATCGATCATTTGTTCCACATTTCATCTAGCTTGATCATTGATGGAACTAAATAAACAAGAAAATGAATTATTATTTATTTTTGAACTCTTATTACGTTATTAATGTTGGTTGATTAGATTCATTGATGTTATTCAATTCAATAGTATCTGTCGATTCTTGTTTAGTATTTCCATTATCTTCATCAAATTGATGCAAATTACGACGCCATGTACGTAATTGTCCATCAAAACATCGTCGTGAACATTTACGATATTTATTTGGTGACGTTGGATGTTCACGTTGGCGTTGTTTTCTATTAAGAAATTAAGTTTCTTTTATTTTATTTAAACAAAAAAAAAATAAGAATTCTATCATACTTTATTGGATATTTAGCCATATAAGTTGCATATGAATCAGACATTTTTCCTTTTAAAATTTCTTTTGTTCGTTGACGTAATGTATGTGGATCACTTTCAACTTCTCGTAAGATTTCATCTTCAGTCATATTAACATATTTAGAAAATGTTTTCAAATAACGAATATAACTAAAATTTCAATAATTCGAAAAATTTTTACTATCTTTAAATACTTACTTAAATAAATATTCGAGTTCAAGTTCTTCTATTTCAGCTATTATTTTTGGATCATCACTAAAATAACGTTCTGAAGCACGAGCAAGATGTGCTAAAGCACGTTTGCGACTATAAACAAAAAAAAGAACATATTTATATACAGAATTAGCGAAAAGTAAAAAATCAATGAAATTTTTTCTGTGATACCAAGTATCAAACTCAAAGATAAAATGATGGATTGAATAATCAATAAAGTTCTCTATCAAAAGCATTCTCTGTCGAAATTTCATAGGTTGGCTATGAGAGAAAGGTTTCTGAAAAAACAAACATGATAGTTTTCAAGTCCTCGATGACTATGTGAAAATTAGTTTTTAAGAGTACCATCTAAAAGAGCATAAATTCCTGAATACAAGAAGAAGTTGCTACTTATCTTACCATCTTTTATTAAAAAGTTACAAGCATCACAATAAAATGGTTTTAGCAATGCTGTGATAAATTTCTTTTTTTTTTTTATTTTTATAATTTTTTAAGAGAAGATCGTAGAAAATGTACCAATATCTAATTCTATTCAGAATTTTACGTTCTTCAAAAATAATTCTTACATAGTCTTCTGGAATTTGAACACTACTGTGTTTGATTTTTGCAGAAAGCTTCGTCTCATATTCCATCTATGAAATTTCGATAGAGAACTTCATTTCACTATTCAAACTACTGTTTTGGACTTGAGTTAATTGTTTGCTATCGTAGAAAAAAAATCAAAAACAGGAATATATATTTAATAACCTTGCATCACTACCAGCCATATCTGATTTAGCACGTATAAGTGAACGACCACTGCCAGTTTTCTGTTTTTGATTCATAACACTAACACTTTTACGTAAAGTAATACGATCATTATTATGTGAAATATTTGTTGTTATTGCTGCATTTTCACATAAAGCTGTTTTAAGAGCTGAATCAGCACGAACACTTAATTCAAAAAGTGCATCAATCGATGTTCGACTAGCAGCAGTTGATGTTGATGATTCATTTCTAGGAAAAAGAAAAGTTTATATAAGATTTTCTTCTTTTTTATTTTTTTGCTTTCAATTAAAATCTTACTCAGTTGGTGTCCAATCAAGTATTGTTGTTGTAAATGAAATTTCTTTATTAGATCGTGTTTGTTGTTGTTCAATTAATTTATCTTCATTTTCACCACCTTCTAAAATAGGCATTAATTTAATTTGTGATTGACCTGTTTGTAATGTTTCATCAATATTATGTCCATTGCTAGATTTTTTAATTAACGATGTATTCATTTTATTTGAATCTCGTAAACTATTTAAATAAGAATTATATATATCTTCTATATTTCAAAAAATAAAATTTACTCATTCTTCGATGTTATTCCATTATTTGCTGCATCAAATGAACTATGAAAAACTTCAGCTGACATTGATCGTGAAGCTAATGTACGACGTAATCTATTATTAACATTATGGTTGTTTATTATCGTATCATTTCTTGTTGGAGATCTAAATTATAACTATGATATAAAATTAATTATGTTTATCAAAAAAAGTAATAAACCTAGCACGATTAAAACCAGAGAAAACAATTGAAGCATACTGTTGTTGTGCAACATTATCAATTTGTACTTCCTAAGATAAAATTAATTAATATTAAAGAAAAGAAAAGAAAAACAAAAATAAAACATACTCGAGCTGCTTTAGGTACCCATAGATCCAATGAAAAAAGAATCTTTTGAATTTGTGCATCAAGTGCATAATCCGAACAAAGACTCATCAATTGTTTGATATTATAAGTTAACATTTCTATAATTTCTACGAAATTATCGAATAAACTGATCAATATAGTTGAAAAAAACCGAAACAAAGAATAGAAAAAAACCTCTCTTTCTTTTTATTCGTTTAACAAATTAACAAATAGTAAACAGAGAAAATGTCAAATAAGCGCTCTCTATTTCTTGTTACATTTTGTAGAGGTCTAAATTCTTATTGGTTTATTCATGCTCAAGATCATGACCAAATCATATATGAACGTCATATAAACAAAGATAGAAGTTTGTCATTTTATCAATGAAGTACTAGTAAATTTTTCAACGTCTTTTTTTTTTTTTTTGTTTTGTTTTATAAATATTTTGTATTTGAAAGAGAATGATTGATTTATTACCATCACGGGTGACACGAGCATTTGGTTCAGAAGTTTCTTATACAGATGCTGTGTCAAGTGTAAATAAATTCAATTCACGTCTTTTACGTGAAAGACGTATTCGTTTACGTTTACCATTTGTTGATTCACAAACTCATATTATTCAAACACCAACACAGAATTATCTATGGAAACATCCAACTCAACGTCTTATGCCTATTCGTTATGATCAAGTAGCATC